GTGATACAGCTACAACTTATAGCATACCCTGAGTGATACGGCTACAACTTATAGCATACCCTGAGTAATACAGCTACAACATATAGTATAACCTGAGTGATACAGCTACAACTTATAGCATACCCTGAGTGATACAGCTACATAGTATACCCTGAGTAATACAGCTACAACTTATAGCATACCCTGAGTAATACAGCTACAACTTATAGTATACCCTGAGTGATACAGCTACATAGTATACTCTGAGTGATACAGCTACAATTTATAGCATACCCTGAGTAATACAGCTACAACTTATAGCATACCCTGAGTAATACAGCTACAACTTATAGTATACCCTGAGTGATACGGCTAGCATACCCTGAGTAATACAGCTACAAGTACCCTGAGTAATACAGCTACAACTTATAGCATACCCTGAGCATACAACTTATAGCCTTACATACAAAGTACCCTGAGTGATACAGCTACAACTTAAAGCATACCCTGAGTAATACAGCTACAACTTATAGCATACCCTGAGTAATACAGCTATAACTTATAGCATACCCTGAGTGATACAGCTACAACTTATAGCATACCCTGAGTAATACAGCTACAACTTATAGCATACCCTGAGTAATACAGCTACAACTTATAGCATACCCTGAGTAATACAGCTACAACTTACAGCATACCCTGAGTAATACAGCTACAACTTATAGCATACCCTGAGTAATACAGCTACAACTTATAGCATACCCTGAGTAATACAGCTACAACTTATAGCATACCCTGAGTAATACAGCTACAACTTATAGCATACCCTGAGTGATACAGCTACAACTTATAGCATACCCTGAGTGATACAGCTACAACTTATAGCATACCCTGAGTGATACGGTTACAACTTATAGCATACCCTGAGTAATACAACTACAACTTATAGTATATCCTGAGTGATACAGTTACAACTTATAGCACACCCTGAGTGATACAGCTACAACTTAAAGCATACCCTGAGTGATACGACAACTTAAAGCACACCCTTAGTGATATCACTACAATGAATGTATCTTACAACATGTGTGATTGAAAATCTGCCATCGTGAAAGAATCAAAACAAATTGAAGGTTGATGGAAAGCAGCTGTTGGGTTGAGCTGAGTTGACTTGTGCTATTTCAGATGACCTGCCTGGTCACATGAAGATGAGTCATAGTAATGCAAGAGGGATTTATTCTATTGCTCTGAAACTAATGTTCAAATGCTGAAATATCAATTAAACCCTTACCCAAAATCCTTAGTTTCAATATCATGAATCCAAAACACACAACTCTCTCTCTCTAGTCACGCATGCACCCACACAACAGATATATCTCAAGTTTTAGCTATATCACATGGTCCACCTGCTCCTTATATATCCATGCTGTGTACACGTGTCCTGTATATGCTTTGGCAACTACCTAGCTTCCTTACACAATTAACAGTGATGTGCAAAAACCAAATATCTATGACTGTCATAACCTTACCTGATATTAGAATTGTTTTCATCAATTACACATTTAATTTATCAAGTTCAAAAGAAATACCAGTATTCAATTACCATCATGTTATAAATGAATTAGATTAGCCATCTCAGTGTTGTTAATCTTGTTGATAACTTGTCATTAGTTGGGATAATAGTGACTGACTGACTGAGTTTGGTTTTACGCCGCTTTTAGCAATATTCCAGCAACATCACAGTGGGGTACACCAGAAACACATTGTACCCATGTGAGGAATCAAACCCCGGTTTTCAGTGTGACGAGCGAACGCTTTAACCATTAGGCTACCCCACCGTCCCTGGGATAACAGAAGTGCTACACACGTCTTGTTTGGTTACAATAAGGTATCTTTACACGGTCATACCCCATTTCACAGATTACACAGTTGCTAGACAGTGGAGTAGAGGTGGCTTGTCAAAACATACAATATTTACTTAATGAAGTTACAGACCAGTCCCAATACACATAATCCACTGTATAACTGAGATGAAATGAATCTACTGGGTGAAATTATTGTTCTATTCTGACACAATAGGATTATATTTTGTTTTCTTTTTAACCATATAGATTAATCTAATGACACATTTGATCATGAAAACAACTTAATTTTGTAAGCTTCTGAGAATACTGACTGTTTGTCTATTCACAGATTTCCGTGCATGTTATTGAAGGTATAGGAATTTGGTACGAACACTTCAGGTTTGCACAAAGTTGACAGTTACAGAGTTCAGAGGTGTTGCCAAGGTACACTTTCAACATTATCTCCACAGCAAGGACAAATTGGATCATTCTACTTAAAGTGGCAATATTGACACATGCTTTTATCACAAAGTGAATAAATAAATGTGCATGTTTTGGCGTAATTATTTTAACCTATGTTAATTGATCATGTCAAATGTTCATAAACAATTCTCGGTAGCACAGCATTAATGATCAGTTTTGCAGCATGACATTTCAAGTCAAAATAGGTAACTTTATACATGCATATACAAATACAGAATAATTCATTTCATTATTAACACATAATCTTGTAGATTGTTAAATGATGTCATGTTATGAGTTGATACAAAAATTCAACAATTTCTAGATAATGACACTTCAGATTATGTATTACTATTACTAAACATTTTCCATGGTAGCAACATATAACAAATCAATAACACAAGCTTCACCACCCTGGTACAAATCCTATGTGTACTAGTGTTGGGAATTGGTTAAAATCTCATAATTGATGATTGGTTCATTACAACCGTTCAATCATCGAAAAAAAAAAATTGGTTAGCGTCATTCATGAAATTTGTTAATGCACATAAAAATAAGGAAAAAACATGTAGTTCTTTTCGGGTTTTGTGGGCAAAATTTCACATCTTTAAAGGATGACTATTATGTTAGGAACATAAATTTCTTGGAGTTTTTAAGATAAATTAAACCATGACTTGAAACGAACTCGTAATGCTTATGAAATGTAACAGACAAAACCAACCTTGTGAAAAATATTGCTAATGAAAACAAGTGTTCCAGAATTGTTTGTGTTCGATTATGAGAAAACATAATCGATTGCTTGGTCGTTTAGTCACTGCGACCAATCTTCGATTATTTCAATTAATCGGACCACCACTAATGTGTACATCATCATAAAACTGATGATTCTTTTAATAAACATAAACTTGTGGCTACAAACGAGTGACAGAAATTGGAACTAATCCTAGAGTCCTTACCAAAGTGCCCAATATTTAAAGAGAAACAACCATCTAACTCTCAGTCATCAAGCTAGTGCTGTTTAAATTATTCCACGTAATCACCTGACGCCAATTAGTGTCAGGCTAACCAACAAACGAGGCTTAGGACCAGCTGGCAAGGATCCCACAGACATCTGGCAATACCAAATGGATCAAAACATATGTCTCCATGATTCTCAGATCACCTCCTTGTTTGCATTGCATATAAAAAGTACCAAACATCTATTACTTTATCACGATTTACAACTAAATATTTGGTAGGAATACTGTGCTAGCTCACATTGTAATGAAAGTCAAGTGACACAATATAAATGTTTAGCTTATTTTTTCATTTTGTTTTCAGTAATAATTTTGTTTATTATGAAATGAAACTTAACATGTGTCAATCAGAGCCCAAATAGTATTTTATTCATATGCCAACATCTCCAAACAATCAGTCAGATTTATCCCCTTGACTGGACACTCAGCATATCTAATTATTTGTAGAGATTTTGTGAAAATCGTTTTAAAATTTCATGAAAATCAATTTAAATAAAATCTTTAATTACATTTATCTATGCCAGTGACCATTATTGGAGCTGTGCAATGAAACTGAGACCCTGCTAATCCTGTAGATTGATAAATGATGTCATGTTATGAGTTGATACAAAAATTCAACAATTTCTAGGTAATGACACTTCAGATTATGTATTACTATTACTAAACATTTTCCATGGTAGCAACATATATAGATTTTGTGAAAATCGTTTTTAAAATTTCATGAAAATCAATTTAAATAAAATCTTTAATTACGTTTATCTATGCCAGTGACCATTATTGGAGCTGTGCAATGAAACTGAGACCCTGCTAATGTTGTCAAAATGTTGTATAACAACAGCAGATATCTCCATCAGAAATTAACAGATGAGTTTCTTGAAGTTTCCCTTTCACATCAATTGGAATATGGTTTCTTAATGCCAAGTTTGTTATCATCACATGTTTGCTTATTTCAATTCTCTGAAAGGAGAATGCACTGTTTTTACTGTGCATAATATTATGGTCACCATCACCCTTTCAGGACTTAAAGAAATTTGAATTTTTAAAAGATATTGCAATATGATATCTCTATAAGGATTATTGGACTAAAAATATTACTATTAGTTTTTATCGCTGCAAACATCATCATCACTATTCACGGATTCATTTTGAAACAGAAGTCCATGAATATGACATTCTGCTTTTCCATGTAAACATATGCTTGGAGGTTGAACAAGATGAGTGACAATGAGTGAAATAAAATAAACACGAACACTATTTGTTAATTACATATTCGCAAGTTGTGAAGCGAGGCATATGGTTAGAATAGATGACAGTGCTACACTAGTCTAAGTCAACGTCAGTGTTGTCAGAATTAGACCTTGTTGTGGGGGTAGGACAGAGAAGGGTGGGGGTAGGACAGAGAAGGCGGGAATTATTGTGATATGATTAGATTCTTCTCAGAGGCATATTTATACTTTGACGGTCCCCATTGCTATGACAGTATATAACGCTTAAAATTTGAGGTTGGGGTGTTGCAACCGATATAACATGATATGCAGACGATGTGAAAAGTGTCTAAACCAACAGAATCCATTAGCAGCATTCCAAACGATTCCCCATGTTGCCAATCAAAATACGTGATGAGGACCGGCAAAGTAGATCACTAGATGCACAGGCAGTTTTGTTAAGACATCAACAAGATCAGTGTGGTTTTACTTACCTTCGAACTGTATTTTTCTTACTGCTGAGAATCATTTCTAGAGAAATGAGACTGTCATTGTATGCTAAACTAATGATATCGCGTCACTGACAAAACTTGAACGAAAGAACAGAAATCTAAGACCGAAACACAAACCTGTCAGACTGTCGTCGTGTCAGTCAATATTCCAAACTTCCGGTACGTTCCGCGGCTGAACAACTTTACCTTTAACGGGAGACCAAAAACTGAAACCAGCAAAGATATGGCTGTGGGTTACTGTTCTGTCATACATTTCTTTTGAAACTGAAAATCTGGTCAGCTATGGATTCTAAATCACGACAATATGCATATATTTCCTGTAGTCATTTATGATTATAATATTTAAAGTTTGATGGCGTTAAAACAGGGATCTAGTCAAATGGGCCGTAGGACAAAAGGGCAGAGAAGTGCTTTAGTCAAATGGGCCGATGGAAAAAGTCAAATGGGCCGTGGTGAAAGTCAAATGGGCCGTGTAAAAATGTCAAAAGGGCCTTATTCTTAGTCATATGAGCCGAACAAAAATTTTTTTACAAATGTTTATCATTTTTATTGACATTAATTAATATTTGTTAAATATTATATATTGTTTGTTCGATTATTGAATATTGACATTTGAATATTGATTGGATTCAATATTATATTACATTATATAGGTCTTGTGTTGCAGCCTTCTTCATCTATAACAACAAGGTTAATTGATCTAAGTAAGAATCACTTCGATTCGTTAACATCTCCAATTAACAATTAAGGAAGTTCAATTAACAGTTCAACAACAATAAACTAAACACTATTCACACTATGTTATTATGTAATTTATTAAATTTGTATTTTTCGGCTCATTTTCGGCCTTTTTGACTTTTGATTTCGGTCCATTTGACTTTTGGCCTGGGCCCATTTGACTTTTTTTTCGTCTCTTTTGTTCTTCGGCCTATTTGACTACAACCCGTTAAAAGGTAACGTATGCTTATTGTTAGGGTGTAATTTATTACAGGAGGGCTTCAAGCACACACTATATTTGCATGTTTGGGTTAAAATAAAAAATACGTGTGAGTTTCATCACATTTTGAGGCGACACTGATTGACGGAAAATGTATAAGGCTTAGTTTACGAGAACATACACACAATAGTCATTATACCTGCATATCCAACTATACAAACAGAACAGTAATTACAATTCAAATGGTAACCATATCTAGTGATAATTTATATCAGATTTCACATTTTGTTGACCAAGTTTGCTATTAGCTGTTCGTTTACCTGACGTCTCTAAATACTGTGTACTCTGCATGATAGTGATGTTCACCGACAACTTCTCGATTTAAGTCCTGTATGCATTATTCATCAACAAAAACCACGTTAGTTAGACTACACCTCTTTATTGTATATCCTTCTTTGAGTGTCATTTTAGAAAGTTGGGAAGTACAATATAGACAAACTTTATGGATAACAACTTCTTTATTTCGTGAGTGCGACGTTTCGATACATATTCTTGTATACCGTTGTCAAGCAGGAATTGTATATCCGTTGTTATGATAAACAGTTTCTAATCTTCCGATAGTTGTCTCTTCACGTAGCACAACCAGAACAGGGCTGAAGTCTTTGAACGCCATTTAGAATGTTTAAACAGCATCTGGAAACTTCGGCATTTAACGCTGAACACAAGAAAAAACTGTCGAAATTACAGTCCATAGTAAGCAAATTTGTATTCCGCGAAGAAACAACCGATCCCGTGTTTTGACACTGTCAAAGGTGGTGTTTTGTTTTCTTTTGGTAATTATTGTTTTCAACACAGACTGGTGGATTAACTCGATATTTCAATACATCTTCTGCAACTGCAAAAGAGAAAACATATTTTTGCCCTACAATACGAGCCACGCGTGAAATATAAGCAACAAAACGGCCTGGTCATTGTTTCAGAAAAACACACACACGAGCGCGCGCACCATGAAAACATCGACTAGATCCTCCCGTTGTATACATACTATCTGAAGCAAATGTTTGGGCTCCTGTCTAAGTCCGTTACAGTCAGATAGATCGGATACATAAGAACTAACACATGACACGTTACTGTATGGTGTCCTATAATTGCCATCGCGTGGCGCGTAAAAAGAACTACGTCGTGGGCGACGTCGCATAAAAAAGACTACGTCGACGACGACGTCGTGCAGAAATACACAAGAATGATCTACGACAAAAATACAAAATCGACTTCGGCCACGACGTCGCCCGTTATTTTTGTAGCCAAAATATATTTTACAAAGCGACGTCGCGCAAGATGTCGTCTTTTTTATGCGACGTCCTGGGCGACGTCGCCAACGACGTAGTTCTTTTTTTACGCGCCATGCGATGGCAATTATAGGACACCATAGTACTGCCTATCTATGTGTTTCATACCTGATTAAGGGTGATGGGCTAGCCTTGTAGTTAAAGTGCTCGCTCCGGGTTCGATTCCACACAAGAGTGCAATGTGTGATGCCAATTTCTGCGTTCCAACTTTGTTTGAATAGTTCTAAAAAGCCTTAAGCAATACTCACTCACTCGAACTTTATTAGACGTCACTTCTCAAATTCTTGGCTAATATTACGACATATATGGAGTTTTGAGTGAAGATTTTTGAGATTTTGTTATTGTCAATACAACATGCCTAATTGGAACTGTGAATGCTACAAGAGCTACGTCATCAACGACAGCCACAGTTGCTCTACCTATATACACTCATTCTGCATTTTATTATATCAACAAATCATTACTTGTCACATGAGTATATATAGATATAATAACATATGGTATAAAAAGTAAATAATTATATGTATAATGGATTATGATATTTGGGAACTGCTGTGGGTATTTCTAACATGAAGCGTGGCTTCATGATAAAAGAAAAAATGGCAGAATCCTACATTCAGTAGCCCTTTAAGAGAGCATATGACACAAGTGATGACGCTTTATATGTTTATTTCTTTCAAAGGGAGTGCCGTGGAGTAGCCTAGTGGTTAAAGCGTTCGCTCGTCACGCCGAAGACCCGGGTTCGATTCCCCACATGGGTACAAATACCACCATGTGTGAAGCCCATTTCTGGCGTCCCCCGCCGTGATATTGTTGGAATATTGTCAAAAGCAGCGTAAAACTAAACTCACTCACTCTTTGAAAGAAGCAACGGCAGATCGTAACTAATACTTTAAGCGCTTTAGGCCGTAAAATGATAAAACATAGCAAACCCTAATAATGGCACAGTTCTGCTTATCCTTACGGTACCCTGTCCATGAAGCAGTTTGACAAGGACTGTGTCAGTTTATATCGCTGGATGTATCCAAGGAAATATCAATATATTTTTGACGTATTAGACAGAGTAGGTAAGTCAATAACAGCAGCTGCTGCTATGAACTAAATCACGCTTATATATCTACATTTCTTTTCTCCCACATCAGAATCCCTTGAAGTGATATAACTTAAATGAACATTAAACTACGATTTTAACGAACGAAAAGGGACCACTAGTTTTTAGTTAGGTATAGCCGTAGTTCTTTATACGCGGAGGGGTGAAGTAAGCTTGTGGCTAATGCGTTCGTTCGTGACGCCTAAGACCCGGGTTCGATTCTCCACATGGGTACAATGTGTGAAGGCAATGTCTGGTGTCCCCCGCCGTGTTATTGCTGGAATACTGCTAAAAGCCGCGTAAAACTAAACTCACTCACTAACTCACTCACTCACTTGACCATAGCTGATCCTGCAACACAACAGTTAACCAGAGATCATGCACGTAGCAGTACATCTTCAGGATACAGATGCCGACGAAACAGTTGTTCGGCTTCGCCCTGCATTGTTTTCACGAAATGTAAAGCAGCTTAGCACGTTTTGCCCGGAAATCAGCTTAAATTATTATAGAAATAACGCTATAAAGAAAGCGTCATCGATGTCATTTGTATACGCTATCATGCGAGCGTGTTTCTTTAATGTCCTGTATCAGGAATACAAAGGCATAACACATTTTAGTCTTACATAATGAAATCGTTGAGCGTTGCACACTTATGAACACTATGTCCAAATTTGGTCACCTGAAAGCCCATGTTACTTGAGTATTGTATGTACTGACTATAGAACCTAGATCATACATCATCATCATAATCATCATCATCATCATAAGCAGCAGCAGCAGCAGCAGCATCAGCATCAGCATCATCATTATCATCATCGTTTGCTCCCAGCTTTGTATAGCCTCGTCCGTAAAAGTACATATTTGTATTTGTTTTAAAGATTAGGGGCGATGGGGTAGCCTAGTGGTTAAAGCGTTCGCTCGTTCGCTGAAGACCCGCGTTCGATTCCACACATGGGTACAATGTGTGAAGCCCATTCCTGGTGTCCCGCGCTGTGATATTGCTGGAATATTGCTAAAAGCGGCGTGAAACAAAACTCACTCATTTAAAGATAACTAAAGATATAAGGAAATACTAACGTCTTATTATCCTTATTATTGTCATTATCCTTTGAATACTAAAGCGAGTTTACGTCGCAAGTCAATACTGTGAGCTGCTGTTTGTCCATCTAGTATTGATCTCGGTAACAGCTGGGCTGGGATATCGACATTGCAACACGTGGCGAGTGAGTCGGTTTGATTCATTTCGGCAGTCACCCTCAGTTCTTTAAATTAACACATTTAATCTTAATCCTTCATCGAAGAAGAAGGTCGTATCAAATATACTCGTGAATTGTGCAATTACAAGTTAGAGGCGTTGCGCACGATCAAAATACTGTACGCGATCGAGTATAGAAAAGCGCCCGCTTTATCCAGTCCAGGGATAGCATAGTTGTCAAGGCATGTTTCATCCACGTGGAAAAAAATCAGCCTATATTACATGTACATATATTAATGTGAGATGCGATGTGTGTGCTCAATTAAAGTAGATATCCTACATTAGATATTCTATGTCTGTGTGAGAACATGGCGTGAATGTGGTAATAAACAAGATATTACATATCGTATATGTAAGATACGACGTGAAGATTTCATCAGGGAGAATCTGGCGTGAATGTGGTAATCAAACTAGTATCCTATATTAGATATCCTAAATGTCTGTGTGAGAACATGGCGTGAATGTGGTAATAAAGTAGATATCCTATATTAGATATATGTCATGTCTGTGTGAGAACATGGCG